AGACGAACATTTTTTTCAACGCTTTCAGCAAATCGGGCCCAAGGGGCCTCTTGCGCGCGCGTGACGACATCGTTCGAACGCCCGGGAGTTCTGTTGTCGCAAGAATCCCGCGCAACAGAAAAGACGAAGTGGGCGCGCGCGCGTCGTCGCGCGGGCATGCCGCACATTTTTCTGCAGTGTCAATGAAAAAGTGAACATGCGCGTGCGTTCGTACAAATTCCGAGAACGCCATCGGTTTTCAACATCGTCATCAGTTCTCGCCAAGCGGGCCTTTCGCGTCGCATGCCGAAATCGTTCGTGCACCCTTGAGCGCGCGCGGGGGGGGGGGTGGGGGGGCACGGCCCGTGTCGAATAAAACCACGCGGGCCATTCGGGCGCGTCGGTCGCGCGCGTGTCGAACTCTTCCCAAACCCTTCATCACCGACGCGAGGACATCGTCATCGCCACCGATGTGATCCGCATCGGCGCCGTCATTGGCATTGCCGTCCTCAACGTTACCATCGACACCATCATCGCTACTACCATCATCGCGTCTAGAGTTGTCGACGTCCCCATGATCCCGCGCCCGCCCAAGTCGCCGACTGGCACTCGAGTTTCCGCTGGGAAGTCCCCAGCGGTCAGCGCCACCGCGCCCGCGTCGGTCGCGCCTGACTATTTGGCCGCCTTGCGCGCGAGAGCATGTGCGGGCTAGCGCGGCCACAGAGTTGCACCAGCCAACATAAAGCACCCATCGCAATCGCCGCCGCATGGGTTTTGCAAATATAGTGGCGGGCGGGTTGGTAGGGTGATTGCGCGAACGGCAGACTTGACACTTTACCGGGGGCAGAAATCAATTCCCCCCTTAAAGCGAGTGGACTCGACCCCCCCCGCGGGAATAACCCTTCATTCTTTCGCATTTCAATGTACATATGTTTTGGCCGCATACCCCATCCTGAATACGAACTCATATCATCCCCCCGCCATCTTCTGCAACATATTCTATGCGCGCACTCGTTGATCGCAAATGAGACGAAGTGCAAGAAATGAGACGACGCGCAAGTTGCCAAGGGTCCCGTGCAAGAGATGAGACGAAGTGCGTACGCGCGTGTCGACGCGCGCGCATGCCGAAATCTTTCAAACATCGTCGGTTTCGTCAGGGTTTCAAAATCGAGTGTCCAAACACATTCTAGATACATATGGTTTCGCAACGCGGATTTCCCAGAAAAGCTTGCGTTTTTTTTTTTGCGAGTTCTTGAGAAAGCCATAGGGCTATTCAACATTTTCACAACATGCTACCAAACGGGCTTCGCGCTTGTTTGCGCGCCCTTGCGCGTGTGCTGGGTTGCCACGACCCGTGTCGAAACATACCATGCGGGCTACTGTCGCGCGCCTGCCGCGCGCGCGTGCCGAACTCCTTCCAAAATGTTCATCACCGACGCGAAGTCGTCGTCGTCGTTGTTGTCGCCGTCGTCGTCGTCGTCGGCGTGATCAGCACCGTCGCCGTCGCCGTCAGCATCGCCACCAGCATCGTTACTGTCATCGTCGTGTCCACCGGCGCCGATGTTGACATGATACCGTGCCCGCCCAAGTCGCCCGCTCGCATTGAAGTGCCAGCTGGGATGTGCCGAGCGGTCAGCGCAACCGCGTTCGCGCAGGCCGCGCCAAACTAGCTGGCCGCTGCGCGCGCGAGCAAGCGCGGGCTAGCGCGGCCGCACAAATTGACCATCGACAAGCACTCATCGCACTGGTTTCCGCGTGGGTTTTGCGAACCAAGTTGCGGGCGGGCGGGCGGGGCGATTGTGCGAGCAGTGGAGTCGACAAAGTTCGGCAAGGTGCATTGCACCGCATAGTTTGCACCTTCTCGGCTGCACAACGTAGATTGCAACACATACATGGCACAACCAGGGCCGCTCCGCATAGAGTGCACCACGGATATCGCACCACGTAGATAGCATCCCACAGGTTCTCCTGTCTAAAAAGAGAATAGAATCTCCCGCCCCCCCTCCGCCAGGATTATCCACCCCCCATTCGTATTTCAATTTACACGATTCTGCCCCATCGTCCATCCTAAATTTGAGTTCGTACCATCCCAGCCAGGCCGGAATCGACCCCCCCGCCGCCATCTTCTGTAACATATATGATGCGCGCATTCGTTTTTAAACAATCACAAGTTTCCAATAGAAATTAACACAACAAAGAGACGAAGTGCATACGCGCGCGTCGTCGCGCGCGCACGCCAGATTCGTTCAAAGTTTTTCGGTTTCGTAAGGAGTTTGAAATCGAGTGTCCAAACACATGTATAAACATACGGTTTCGCAACACGGATGTCCCAAACCAGTTTGCGCGTTTATGTTAAGAATATTTTTTACCATTGCCATAACAGATTGCCAAACGAGCTTCGCGCGCGCTTGTCGACATCGTTCGAACGCCCTTTCCCGCGCGCTGCGGTGGCACGATCCGTGTCAAATAACACCTTGCGGCCACTCGCGTGTCTGCCGCGCGCGCATGTCGAACTCCTTCCAAAACCTTCATCACCGACGCGAAGACGCCGCCATCGTCGTCGGCGTGATCAGCCTCGGCGCCGTCACTGGCTCCCCCGTCGTCGCCGTCAGCATCGTCAGCAGCATCGCTATCATCATCATGTCTACCGTTGTCGACGTTGCCATGTTACCGCGCCCGTCCAAGTCGACGACTCGCACTGAAGTGCCCGCTGGGATGTGCCGAGCGGTCAGCGCCACCGTGTTCGCGTCGGTCGCGCCAAACTAGTTGGCCGCTGCGCGCGCGTGCTTGGGCTAGCGCGGCCAGGGAGATGCACCAGCTAGCGCCAAGCATGCATCGCAATCGCCACCGCATGGGTTTTGGAAACCAAGTTGCGGGTGGGTGGGTGGGATGTCTGCAAGAACATGTGATGTGTCTTCTCGGTTGGTAAAAATCAATCGCGCCGTAAAGACTGCACCAAAAAATTGCACCACGTACAGTGGTCGACATACATTGCACATCGTAAATCGGGTTATTTATGATGATGTGTGTCCTATTACGTTTCGCCCGTATACATATTTCGGTTGGCATTCGCGGTCGTCGATTGGACGCCCGCGCCGCGGCCGCGATAGCGAGCCCGCCGACGATGGGAGTGTTTGACAGCGGGTTTGCGCATTCATACCGCACGCCACATGTTATTCGCAGAGTTTGTGGGGTGCTACTCACTTGAAAAACGCTTGGTATTCAGCTAGTTCGCGCGCGGGTGCCACGTTCGCGGTTTAGTTTGGCTCGCACATCCGGTGGCGTTTTATCCGAGTGGACACGGGATATTTGCAGCCGTCGGCGTGCAAACGTCAATCCGCCGTTGGCAAAGTAAAGTTCATCCCACGACAGTTGGGACTCAGTTATGACGCACATCGGCTCGCCCACGAGAGGAATCGAGTACACCATGGCAGAACATTGTCCACTTGTCACGATGTGGAAGTGCTAGACGCAGGGCGCCCAAACCGACAGGAACACACAGCCACAAAAGTGGAAGGCGCACAGCGCTCAAGCAGAGAGGACACCAAAGTGGGAAGCGGCGGGCGCCGAAGCAGAGAGGAACCCACAGAGACGCGCGAGTGGGAGTCGCACGGCGCCCGATGAGAGAGGAACCCACAGAGACACGAACGTTGAAGTCGCACGGCGCCCAAACAGAGAGGAGCCCACAGAGGGAGGTGCCAGGCGCTTTCTCGCTGTTTCCTGTCGTTCGGATGCTTGCTTCATCTTGACAGAGAGCTGCTTGTTTCTCCAACAGCGCACCCACTTCGTTGGCCGAGGCCCTCCTGGGGATATGTCCACATGGTTGACCATCAGGAAAATCAATTTCTTGTTAATTTGCTTGCGCATTTCAAGAAGGCAGGGACACGCCGATTGCAATCAAAGCTCCAAGATCAATATCCTCGTCCAACTGATGGGAAACAAAGGTTCACAAATGGGAGAATTCTGTGGCTCCAGTGGGAGAAGCAGCATGCTGGCCAAAGGCAGTGCACAAATTTAGGGAGCCGCCTAGGAAAGCTTCTCAGAAGGGCCTTCCAAGATCCCACCATGGCCTTCTAAGAGGCTCCCCCTCGCTTCACCTCCTTCTGCGGCATTCCTCCGCAGCAGGACGGACCCATGAGGCCCGCTGGCCCCGAAGCCGAGCAAACCCGCGCCTCTGACATGCGATTTCTTATTTTTGTTCAATACGGAGCTCCTGGAAGTCCCAAACCTTTCTCTGGGGCCCGTTTGTGATGTTTTCTTATTCATTGTTGTGCCGATTGGCGCGGGCCATCGCACCCGCTTCCCCACCCCCCTCCCTCGGCGCCTGTTTCAAGCAGGTGGAACGCACGGTTGCAAACATCGTCTTAAGCAGAGGTCCAGAGCTAGACCCCCCCTCCGTCCCCCCTTCCGCCCAATGTCGAAACGCCCAATGAGAAAACGCCGACTTTTCATCCCGAGCCATTTGTTGACGGTCCCGGGGCCTGGCGAGGCCCCCCCCCAGTGGCCGAAGACGACGAACAATTTCCCGTCTTGATCTTCTTCACGGCGCGAGCATGTTTGGGGCGGAGTGGCACACATTGAACCCCCCTCTGCGCGTCGCCAACCTTCCTCCGGTGCCCAGGGAGGGCCGCGGGGGGCGGGCAGGCGGCCGGCTGCGCGTACAGTCGGGCCGCTGAATCAGGGACCCTTCTCGTCGTGGAGGGGCTCCGCGCTCCTGGATGGTTTTGTTTTTTTCTCAGGTTGTCCTTCTGGGTTTCTATGGGAAATCGAGGCGCCGCTTGCGCGCAGGGTCGGCCCCGATCCCCCCCCTCCTCCGCTCATGGTGCTCGCCTTCGGCGTGCACCTGGTGGCGGCCCTCTGAGCTGCTGCCCTCCATGTCCTGGCGGCCAGGGTCCGTTCCCGCGGATGCTGGACCTCGACAGCCCCCCCGTTGGCTGCTGGAAGACAGGCGGCCCCGTTCCTGATCCAGGCTCGCTCGTGGCAGCGCTTCGACTGCCTGCCCCCGTGCCTGTCCCGAGGAGGCCGTGCTGCTGCTGCAGCTGGCGCTCAAGGGCGCGGACCTCGGCCACCTCACCCTCGGCCTCGCGGCGCACCTGAGGCTCTCTCCCTGGGAGTGGGGCCGCTGTAGCCGGAGAGGAGAAAAAACGGCATGAACATGAGCTCGGGGTTGGACAGAGTCCCCACCCTGACACCCCGCGGCCGTCATTTTCCAGGCTTGCGCCCGCCAGATTTGGGCCCGAGGTCGTTTCCACTCCAACCACGTTTTACCAAAGCGGGTTCTGTCCATCTCCGACAAGTTTTTGGCGGTCGGCGTGGATTTCTCGGATCCGCGCTGGGCCCCCCCCCGCCGGCGCCGCCCCTGGCGCGTTCCGCGCGCCAATGAGGGGGATCCAGCTCAGATCCCAGAAATCCACGCGAACCGCTGATAAAGTTTATGTGTTTGCCGTTTCGTGTTCTTCGATTAAGAGTTAAATCGGGAGTGTCCCTCTACAGGAGGAATATTCAATAACAGTCAACAAATACTACGGGTACGATTTTTCCATTATGTTTATTTTGTTTTTGAATGCTTTTTTATTTTTTGATGTTTCCTCCAAAATCCGACTGGACTGTAGGATTACATGCCCGACCGAGATTCAGACACTGATGGTTGGCGTTCAGAAGACACAGTGCGTTTGGACCCTGGGCGCGGTCCTCGCGGCGCACATGCGGCCCAAACCCTCGAGGATGCAGCTCCTGGGAGGCTCCAGACTTTGAGTCGGCGCTGGTGTACCCCTGGTCGAATGCTGGCCCAGTCCGGCTTCGCATCCATCCAGATCTGGCTCAATTCCACTCCATCCCGCCTGATCCTAGGCTCCAGATGCGCCTTGGTCCGTGTCAGTGGCCCCCAACTCGGGCCTGGCAGCACTCAACCGCTCCTGCGAAGACTTCCCACGAGTTGCCGCCTGACTCCCCGAGATTTGTGTGTGTCTCTCCTCTGGCGCGCAACGGTAGTGGGCCAACCACTCCCGAGCCATACGGGCTGGGGGTGGTTAGGGGTAACTCCTGGCTCGCGCCTCGGGGGCCCAAGCCGGTGTCACCCGGGACTGAAGTTATCCCGGATCACTCGGGCGTCCAAGAGGGAGATCTCGGGCGGGCTAGGACAGGGATAAGTCCGTTCCAGGGCGGTCTGAAGCGTTTTCTGAGCGTTTTGAAACGCTCTGAGAAGGCCGCGGCGCCCGATACATCCTCCGGAGCCACGGGACCTCAGAGATCCTCTATTTTTTCTCACCCGCTGTCATCCTCGTCCTGGCTTTCTCTTAAGATTCCCCCCTCTCCGTGTGTTGGACTCAGGATGCCCCCTTGGAGACCTCCAGAGGCCTCTAGCGGTGCCTCTGGGGTCGTCCGTGGCCCTGGACTTCCTGAGGCCTCCGAGACCAGGGGCTGTTTTTGTTGGTGTTGCTGTGGACGGTTGCAGGCCGAGTTCCCAAAGGGATTATTTCGCAGGCGTGATGGAGGGAAGTGGCGGTCAGGAGAAGCTTCAGAGAGGAGGAGGAGGAGGAGGAGGAGGAGGAGGAGGAGGAGGAGCCGCAGAATCGGAGGCGAAGCCTCAGATTTAACTTGTATGCCTTTTCCCATTCCTTTTCCTCCTCCTCCTCCTCCTCCTCCTCCTCCTCCTCCTCCTCCTCCTCCTTCTCTTCTCCCTAACCACCGCATCCTCGCCTCCTCCCTGCTCCTCCCCCTCCCCATCTCCTTCCTCTCACCCTCCTCTTCCTCACACTCGTGCTCGTCCCTAGTTACGGTATCTCCTCCTGCTGCTGCTCCTCCTTCTCCTCCTCCCCCTACTCCTCCTCCTCTTCCTCCCCCCTGCTTCCCCTCCGCTTCTGCTTGTTGCTTCCCTCCCTTTCCTTTTCTCCTGCTTCCTGCCTGCTGTTTCCGCCTGGCCCGTTTGCTGCCCGCCCGCCCCGCCGGCCATGGCCTCCCGCCTGGGCGTTCGTCGTCGTCTGCCTGCTTCTCCCCTCTTCGCCCCCTTCCGCCGGACCGCGCTGCCTGCCCGGAACCACGAGGCGGGCTGCTGTCCCCAGCCACATTGGCCTGTAGATTCTTCTTCCGAGGAATCTGATCCACCGAAGCAAACGCCAAAGCCACAATTGGATCCGCGCGAACTTCACGGGATATGACGGCGGTCATCTCATGTTTCTCATCCTCCTCCCTTTCTCCCCCATCCTCCCGGTCTGTCCCACGCCTCTTCCTCTATCCATCCCAACCCATTTGTCTGAGCCTCAGGTTCGTGGGTTGCCTGGAGCAGGAGTTCTTCGCCCAGGGCGACAAGGAGAAGGCGCTGGGCATGCCAGCCTCCTTCCTGATGGACAGGGACAAGCCAGGCGCCTCCTCTTCCCAGGTCGGAAGAGAGATATGAGATATGATGCGGATCGGAGGGGGAGGGGGAGGGGGAGGGGGAGGAGGAGGAGGAGGAGGAGGAGGCGGAGGAGGAGGAGGAGGAGGACAACGACGAAGACGAGGACATCCTCATCTTCTCTCCTTGTCCTCGTCCCTCCTCCCCCTCCTCTCCCTCCACTGGCCATCCTTCTCTCTAGCGCTCCTTTCTTTTCATCATCCTCCCTTCCTCCTCGTCGTCGTACTCCTCCCCCGTTCTCCTCACCCTCCCGCCTCTCATCTTGACTCTCCATTCGTCTTCCTTGGCCTCCTCATCCTTCTCGTTTCTCTCCCTTCCTCCTCGACATCCTCCTCCTCCTTCTCCTCCGCCCTCTCCTCGTGTTCCCCCTCTCCTCCGCCTCCCAGGTCCACGGTAGAAGTGTGACCGCCCGTCGAGGGCGGATGGTCGGGGGGATGTTTCTGTTTTCTCCGTCTTCTTCTTCTTCTTCTTCTTCTTCTCTTTAGTACTTTTGTGCAGGTTAGTATTATTATTCCCCTTCCTCCTCCTCGTCATGACATCACGTGCACTACGCATCATCTTTCCAACCGTCTGCACGTAGGCCTGACGTGAGGCTACATCTCACAGAGCGCCGCCGCCCGCCTGACCCAGCCCATAGCGCGGCTCCCGGGCCTGGCATCCCTGCTGCGGGACCCGGGATGGCGTTCTTTCGTACTCGGTCGTGATCTCTGCCGCTTCTCCTCCCCTCCTCGCTGGGTCAGGTGTACACATAGCTCTTCCCTGTTGCATTCCGAGGCGGGACGGTAGTGCGGGCAGAGAGTTTCGCCTGAGGCTTCGTCACCGCTTATGATCCCGAAGCTCGAACACTGCACCAGCTTCACGGATGGAGGGCGGGCCCGTTTCAAGATGTGATTCTCGCCTCAGCGCCGCGCAGATTCGTCCTAAAAGTTTGCCCGAGCTTCACGTGTGGAGGGTGGGTCGCTTTCAACGTGTGGTTCTCGATTGCGCGCCGCTCGTTGCAAACATTTGCAAGCATTTCACGCATGGAGGGCGGGCCTTCTCCGCCTTGGCGCCGCGCGCACTCGTTCGAAAATGTGCAGGAGCTTTACGGATGGAGGAAGTGTTCTTTTTCAACATGTAGTTCTCGTTTTCGCGCCACGCACAGTCGTTGCAACGGTCTACAGCAGTCCCAAGGATTCGTATGGTCGACGTGTCCCTCAGTGTTGTTTTGGCACGGTTTAATGCTGGCAGGGCGCGACAACAAAAATAATTCACGGTGTTGACGCCCCAGAGACGGTGTTCTGGCACGATTTCGGATTGCCAGGTCGTATCAGTCACGTTCATCCGTGGCTTTCAGGTCCCAGGAATGGTGCGTCGTCTCCGTTCCAGATTTTCAGGCGGGTGGCGTCCAACGGGGCTATTCCCGTTGTGAACTGGATTCCTGTAGGAGTTTCTGAAGAGGGAAGGAGCGAGCGTTTATCACAACATCGTTGATGGATCTTGGGTGTGCACTGGTCCTCCCTCCTCCTCCTCCTTCTCCTCCTCCTCCTCCTCCTCGTATCGCACCGCGATAGAGCCCATTCCATTCCACTCCTCCTCATCATCATCCTCCTATTTCTTGGGGAGGCCTCGATCTCGCAAGGTCGGCTTCTTCGAGCTCGTCGCCCTCCCCCTGTTCCGCGTCCTGGACCGGGCATGCCCGTCGCTCCGGCCTATGCTCGCGGGCGCCGAGCGCAACTGCCTGTATTGGAAGAGCGTGCAGGGCGACGCGCGTGCCAGCATCGGCACGAGCGAAATGAGTACGGACTAAGACGGGGGCATGCAGGGATCATTTCGATTCCTCCGATTCGATTTGATTCGATTTCGATGGCTTCCGATTCCGACTGTTCCGATTTCTTATTGGACGCACACTAGTCTGCCGATTTCCGCCAGTTCGACTTTTCTCGACTCCGCTGCCGATATCCGCCGATCCAATTCATTTCGATCGCCGATCCGACATCGATTCGATTCTGGGCTCTCCTGGGCATGGGCCGACAGCAGTCCCTGCCAGTTTTGAACAGGACTCGCTGCCCGTGTCGCCGCGGAAGTTGTCAATCTGAGACAGAAGGTCGCCTGCCCAAGAGCGGCTGCTGTCGGTTTGTGTACAGCATCTGATGTTGGGCATCTCGTGCCCATTCTAACCCCTAAAGTTCTTCAGTATTGCTCCCCCCGATTTCTCTCGGCGGGGAATCAAATTCGTCCCTCCTCTTCCTCCTGCTCCTCCTCCTCCTCCTCCTCCTCCTCCTCCTCCTCCGCCTCTTCCTCCTCCTCCCCCTCTCATCCTCCTGCTCCTTCTCCTCCTCCTCCTCCTCCTCCTCCTCCTTCTCCTCCCCCCCTGATGTGCGGCGGTGCCGCGGAGAAATATGTATTTCCCATTATTGTTTGGATCCCAGTCCGACAATAAGAGCGCGTCGAAAAGACAATCAGTTTCTACTCGAGGGGGGAGGGGGGTCAAAAGACCTCGAGATATGATCCGTACCCATGTCGGGCGTGCCTGCACCAGTGGGGGACAGGCCTGAGGTGGGGGTCTCGCAGAGAGGGGCACCTGGCCCATATGGGCAGCGCCCGCTGGTGAGCTGGGCCCGGCAGCGGGGAGGATTTAGCAGCAATTCGCCAGAGTTGTGAACGTTCTGGCTGGCAATTCGGTTTTTGGCGCGCACTGGCGCGCCACCGTCTGGTCCTCGATGAGCGACTCTGATGCAGCGTCGCGCTCCGTCGATTGGCATGGGTTGGCGTCGTTTCGCAGGAGGCAGCAAATGGCACTGGGCGCTCCCAGGAGCTGCCACAGAAAGTGGAGGAGGGGCATGAGAGGGTCAGGAGGGGAATAAACACACAGGCACCACTAAATGTCGATGTTCCAGAACATGTGGGAACATCTGGGAAGCGGAGGGGAAGACGAAAGCCCAGAAAATATGGAAGGAGGTAGAGACTCCTGGGATTCGTGTCTATCTATTTGTGTGTCCCAGGGCCCCGTCGGAGGAGGCCTCGCAGAGGGCACCTCGCCCGGCTGGCACTGCCCGCCGGGGAGCTGGGCTGCTGGGCCTTCGAGCACAACGCGCAGACGGCCGGCCCCGCCCCCCTCGGTGGGTCGCGGCTGGCCTCCGCGGGCCCCCCCCGGGAAGTCCCGGCGGGCCTCGGCGGGCCCCGCCGAGCAGTGCGGGGCTGTCTCGGGGGCGCGTGAGAAGGCACGTGCCCCGCCCGCACGCGCCAGGCGCATGTGGGGTCCCCTTCTGCGTGCCAAGGATCCGCCGAGCAGAAGTTTGGGTCCCCCCCCCGTGTGGGCCGCGGACACGTGGAGACATTTGCCCCGCGCGCGCGCCAGGCGCATGTCGAGTCCGCCCCCCCCCCCCCCCCTCCCTCGCACGTGTGTGCACGTGTGGAGAATCCGCCGACTAGAAGCTGGGTCCCTCCCCTTGGGGGCCGTGGACACGTGAAAATCTTGCCCCGCGCGCACGCGCTTGGCGCATGTTGCAGCCCTCCCCCCTCCGCACTTATATCTTCACGTGCAAGGAATCCAGCGCGACCAAGTTGGCTCCCTCGCCTGCGGCCCCATCGTGGCCAGAAACAACAACAAACACGTGCCGAATGCACGCGTGCCGAGCCTCATGTTCGAGACCCCTCCCCTCCGCAGACGTATTTTTACGTGACGCCCAAATTGGGCCCCTCGCCTGCGGCCCCGTCGTGGACAGAAGCACGGAAAACACGTGTCGAACGCACGCGTGCCGACATTCATGCTCGAGACCGACACCTCCGCACATTGTTGAACTTGTCCGATTCCGACGCCTGCTGCCCGACACCCGTCTTGTGGAGTGCCTTTGGCCCGCATGCTAACGGAGAGCCCTTGGGCCAAAGCCCTTACCGGGGGGAAGGAACACCCCTGAATATGAAGCATGGTTGGAAGGGGAGGAGGAAGATGAGGACGAACAGAAGGAGAAGGAGGAGGAGGATAATAATCACCACGAATCCCATGAAGAGAATGGATCATGGGAGAAAGGGGCCCGTATTTGCTTTGCCATGTTCGGCCTCGTGGGGCCTTGTTTGGGCCACAGGACCGCCAACAAGTGGGCCAGGACGAACAACAATGTCCTCAGGAAAGCCCTGAGAAGGAGGAGGGAGAGGAGGCTAAGTGTTGCGAACGACGCTCGAGGATCGAGTGCATTTGGCTTATTATTGGGCCTCTGGAGGCGTCGGAGGGGACCTTACGGCCCAGGATCCAGAGCGGCCTTGAAGCTTGCCGAAGAAGCCAGAACGATGATGGGGAGGAGGCACTCTTAGGAAATCCTGGAGCCTTCGGAGGGTCGAAGTGGGTACGAACAGAATGGTGACGACAACCGACAGCTGTTCCTGTCCATTTTGAGAAGGACTGGCTGGCGGTGTCGCCGCCGTCGTGGTCCACTTGAGACAAAAAGTCGCCTTCCCAGCAGCGGCCGCTGTCGGTTTTTCGTTCCTCCGTACCCATTTCGGGCGAGCGAAAGTGAGGCGCCCAGCAATGCGCGCTTGACAGTGCACAGTAAGGCGCGCTTGCCAGCGCACAGTAGGTCGTACAGAGGCGCCAGGTCTGGTTAGCGAAACGAAGTTACTCAGCAAGGCGCGCCTGACAGCGCACAGTAAGGCACGTTTGCCAGCGCACAGTAGGTCATACACTGAGTCGCCAGATAGGAGTCTGGTCAAAGCGCAGGTATTTTTTTCGTCGCGCCTCGCTCGAAAGAGCGTGTGTGCGACGATCTTTCGGGACTGGGTGCCCACTTTGCTTGGCCCGTGCCGCCGTTGTTATGAAGACATGTTTTGAGGAGAATGCGAGATTGCCAAAGACCGACACGGGATGAAACAACGATACAGAGGCAAGCCCCGTTGTCTGATATTTGGTTCTCTCAAGACCCTTGCTCCATCATGCCGAGGTTGGCGAACGGTGTCGAACCTGTTTCAATTCGGCAATGTTGTAACCATTGATATTGCTTGGGAGGGCTCCTTCGTTACCGCAGTGCTGTTACAGCCCAGCGCTGCTCCAGCTCTCGAAGGATGATGCACTGTTGCAGATCTGATCTGAGCCAGATCGCGGCCGAACGGTGCCGATTTTGATTGGCACCGTCGTCGCTGTCTGTGATCGTCCTTCCGTCACCGCAGTGCTCTTACAGCCCAGCGTTGCTCCAGCTCGTGCAGGAGGCGTGATTGCTCACATCAGTTCTCCAACGTTTAAAATGTTTTTCTCAGTGCACGTCGGATATATCACGGGCAGCTGACCCATCACTCGCGAAAGCGAATCGCGTGTAGCGTTGATCCCTCGAACTCGGTAGCTAACAAAGCGCCCATATGTTCCGTTGCCGAGTTCGACCACGGTTTCTGGCTGCCAGGAGCAAAACGGTCGCCTTGCCAACCATCTCATCAGCTGCCCCATGCGCAGCTATCGCGAGAGCATCAGGGCGCATGAACTGCTCCATGTGTAGCTTTGGCGAGATTATTCGGCATGCATCCATGCAGCACCAGCTCAACGGACGGATGCGATGATTGTACTTCGCATGTTGGCGTTCTAATCCGTGATGCGGTTTTCCCGTGCCCACCGGGGGCTCTCCCTCATCTGTTCCTCATCCCCTTTCGTGTACCTCAATCATATTGGCATTCCCGCATCAAGGAGGAGGTCATGCTTGGACAGCTTCACTTGACTTCTCATTTCGATTAGTCAGTGGGGTGTAAGTGGCTTCACGTACCTAATCATACTTACGTGTCTTCACGTGAGTACATGTGCATGCAAGCGTGTGGGCATACAAACATGCGAGCATACACACCCATCCGCTCATTAACGTAGAGTCGATGTGCACAGGTGAGGTAGCTTGTCTTCCTGCGGCTCTCGCCGTCATGTTTCTGCCGCAGCCCTGGCCGCATTCCCAGCTCGGAATGGCGCGGCGGTCGCGCGGGAGGGGATCTCACTCACTGCCTGGTGGTACCCACGTTTGCGTCAGTCACTCCCAGTTCCGACCAGTGCCGCCCCAGCGCCAGCCACAGTCCCAGCTCGCTACAGCGCGGTCTACAGTCGGACCGAGGTATATGATCGAGGTCAGTTCGGGGAGGGTGCCCTCATGTTCTTCGAGTGTGTTGGCTGTTCTTTTGCATTCTGGGGGGGGGTACCCTTGGATGTTCTGTGTGTCTTTGCGGGCGCAGGGTCTCATGTCTTTGAAGGATGTGTTATCATTGCTTAGATCCGACTGTACTCCGTGGGCGTGTTCGGTGTTGGTGATCAGAAGCGTCACCTGGTGCATTCTTTCATGTAGCACCGTCGACACTTCCAGCCCTGTATGTTGTTCTCGCCCCTGCGCTGGCCAGTCGCTGGTACCTTCATGTTCTTCGTGCTTGTTGGATGTTCTTGCGCATCCTGTGGAGGTTGCCCTACGTTGGATGTTTTGTTTGCTTTGGCCGACGGAGGGTCTCATGCTCTTGAAGGATGCTTTTCCGACCTAGGTCCGACTGTACGCGTTCGTGCCAACTTTATTCCACGTTCGGAGTGGTGCTCTCGCCAGAGCAAGTTCCGTTTTCCCAGCTTGAGGCGGAGCTCTTGCCCATGCGTTGGCCATTCCCCGAGGGGGCGCGCGGTGGGTGATGTCGGTCTTCGCCTGAGCGCCCTTCCCGATCTCGGCGCAGAGCGGTGCTCTGGCCCCAGCGGCGGTCACAGTCCTTGCTCGGAGCAGTGATCCTTCTCAGCGCCTGGCGTCCTTTGTTTGGCATCGCTCGGACGTGTGCATTTTTCCTTCGGCGAGGACCATCGAGGAGCATCCTTGATCATTTGGCGGAAAAAAACAACGCACGAAACCGAAAAGAACACAGGGAATGGACGTCCGAGCGATGGCGAGTTTAGAGACAGTGCGGTGGCCGGAGGGTCCGAAAGGGCGTTCGTGCAAGATGGAGGATCACAAAATTGCTCCGTGCAGCCGGGTTCGGTCCCGCTGCCCAGCGCTTCCCTTGGACACACGGTCGCGTCCAGTATTCCGAGGCGCCCGGGGAACCATGAGCTCGCAGCCGACTCCCGAGCCTCCCTTTTCCCATGTGATCGGCATGAAAAATCGGTGTCGTCTTCAGCGACATTGGTGCGTAAGCTGTTCGCGTAAGCTCGCGCGTCAGCGCCCTCGTATCCAGTGTGGCGTGCCGCGCTGGCGGCCCGCGTGAGCCGCCGCGCCAGGTCGCTATGTCATCTCGCGTAAGATCCGTTTTTGATTGTCGCTCATGTGCTGGCCCCCCCGTTTCACTCCGCCTAAGGTAGGCGGTCTCATCCACACGCGCCGTGGATCTCGCCTCAGCGCCAAGCAGCGCACCCTCAGCTCGGAAGTGATGGCAAGCCCATGAGGGACAGCAAGGTGAGACAATCTCTCTTCCGTTCGTCGCGGAGCCGGCGGGAGGGCTCTCGTGCCCCGGCGCCGCCACGTTCCCACTCCCACCCGCCTCGCAATTGTGCTGTCGCCACCGCGAGGAGCAGGGCGATGTTCGATCTTGTCCGCTGGCCTGCTCTCGCCTCCCGCGCCCCAGCCGCAGTCCTAGCTCGGAGGTGCCCCGTCGCTTCTGCCGCAATCGCGTCCGCAGCCCAGATTGGAGGGCGGGGGATCTTCGAGTGGCGGTTTGGGAGCGCGTGTCATTCCATT